TGTTCAGAATATTGACATTGATGTTAATCAATAACAAGTGAAACAATATGATGTTATTATTTACAACGTGCCTACAAGAATTCACATGTTACCAAAACAGGGTTGGCAACCATTCATAGTTTGGATAGTAATTATTTCATGACCATCAACAACCAATAACACCAACAAGTCTGACATTGATGACACAATTTGAATATTTACTCACTAACTGATCTAATGTGTGTTTATCCATTACTGAACAGTAATGTGAATGTTCACATCATTGATGTGAACAACAACATAATATGACTGATTGAGAAATTAACAGTAATGTGAATATTCACATAATTATATACTGATGTGAATGTTTACACCAGTGTCTACTAATGTGAGTTTATCCATTAATGAACAGTAATGTGAATGTTCATATCATTGATATTTACAAAATCAAATCCAAGAACAACAATAGTAATTGGGCAATGTAAATATATATATATATATATATCGGTGATCACATTATGTTATCATTGTCTGAAAAATATAGATTGGAACTAACAATACCAACAAGTCTGACATTGATGTCATAATGTGAATATTTACATCATATTCCATCACATTCTTTGGTGGAGATTGGGGGTTCTATGGACATCAACAATCAACAATACCTCTTTCATGCTCAAGGTACTTGTGGTTTAAGCCCTCTTTCCATTAGGGGACACTCACTCTTTGGACTAATCAATTAAAGAATGGATTGGTAAGTTAAAATGAGTAAAAAAAATGACAAAGTAAAAGAAGCAAGATTAACCATCTTTGTGTCGCATTGCATGTGTTCGGATCAGACGTTAATCCGAACACAAGAAAAATGGGACGTTTCATACTCAAAGTGATGAAACGTGCCACTTTTCTTAGTCACCATCACCCTTGACATGCATGATAGGGTGGTGGTTGTTTTGGTCTTGTTTGTGCATTCATTGACCTTGTACAAGCTTGGTTCCCTAGCCATCATGCATTGAAAATGCTTGATTGATGGCTTGAGAGCCAAGAGCTACACTCATTTGAGCTTGAGAGATGATAATGAGGGTAGCAGTACATATATTTCTTGAAAATGCCTTGCTTTGCCTCTGTTTGCTCTCTGTTGCAGCAAAAGAAGAAGTCCAGAAAAGGGGGTGGCTGACCGGCCACTTGAGGTAGCCGACTGGCCAGTTGGGGTGGCCGACAGTCACTTTTTGTAGCCGACTGGCCACCAGTGAATTTTTGCACAAACGTGTTCCTGTGTTGGAGCAGAGGCAATCTGGAAGTTGGTACAATTATCAAATGAGTGCAAACAGAGCCATCTGATGGCAAGGCAATGGCATTTTCGGGTGGAGTAACCGAGCATGCATGCGTCCCTTGCCCTCGAGGCCATTTAATTGCTTTAGTTAGTTAATTAGTGGTATCTAATTTACTTGCTTTGTAATTAGTTAGTTAAAGTGTTTAGCTAATTAATTCATTTTGTAATATTTAATTAGCTAAGAATAGTCAGTTAATTAGTTTCAATGGTGTTGTATTAGTTAATTAGTTTTGGTTTGTAATAGCTTAGCTTAATTAGCGTAGCTAGTTGGTTAGCTTATTCATTTGGAACCTCCTTCGCGAGGGTATAATGTTGTAATAAGTGTGCGTGCGTGTGTGCATGTTTTCCAACCCCAAGTCTTTCTTCCTTTTATTTAACCGTTTTCGATGGTTAGTTTAGGGACATATTTCAATTAGCATACCTTATGCTCGCATGTTTACATCATTCATTTGTCTTGCATGCATCGAGGCTTGGCGCATCATTCAAACTGCATTACAATTTCAAATACTTCTTTGAATACGTGTTTCAAAGCATGCTATCAAAGTGTTGCAAATATCATGATTAAGTAGCCGAGCCTATTTAATTTCATATTGCATGTGTTGTATTAGTCATTTTTACATAGTTAGGATCATGTATTGTTTTTAACTAGTTTTTGTTTTGGCTTGGAGTACTCGGTAAGCTTTTGCGCTTTAGCATACTTGCATGAGTGTGATTGCCATATCACCATGATTCGCATGCTTTCCATGAGGCTATGTGTTCACTTGCTAAACTGCATGAATGCCTGCGGATGAAGGCTTTGTTGTTTGAATTGGAACAATTCAATGAATGCACGTTTTTAAGCCCATTTTACGAAGTGACAAAACCCTGTTTTAAGCCCATCATGTTTGATGGCAAATCCACATTTTAGTCTACTTGAGGGTGATAACTTCAAACCATTTTTGAAAACAAACATGAGTTGAATTCGTTCCAATTCTTGCGATTTTAGTCTATATTTGCTTGTGTGCATCACATAGGAAAGTTAGCTAATAACCGGAATAAGAACACATGAGGTTTATAAAACACCATATCATGATTAGTAGAGGCTGATCTTTGATCGGGTGAGTGGTGGTGCTCATTTTAGGACCTTCCCCTTTCGTACCCAAGTTCCCGAGTCGAGGCAACTTTGGTGATAACAGACACGTGGCCTTTGGCACTAGTCAGGGTTTCCTAAATTTCCACAAAACAAAATATTTAGGTGGCGACTCTGTAATCTGGCAAAGCAGTCCAGTTTTGCCATTATTTGATTCAAAATCAATTTTCCAAAATGATTTGTCGGATTGGACTCTTTGGTGATTATCAGTCTCACATTGCACATTGTGAGATTAGATTCAGAACCGTGACAGGAGTCCGAACATTAGGAGACCAATTCGCACCTCTTCGAAAGGGGGCGTGCGGAGAAAGTCAAGTCTACAGTTTCTGGAGACTTTGCTGGGGGCTTAGAGAACTTGACTCGAACTCATGATATGTTATTTTATCTACACTTATGTGTTTTTTTTGCATTTGCATTTGCATCGGTGTGCCTAAGTCATAGTGTTTTCCATCTGCTATTCCTGAGCGGTTTGCCGGAGGCTTGATTGGAAAAGCTTGCCAAAAGGTTTACCGGTTGCGGGCTCTGCCACGATGGGCATACAAACCTTGGATCTGGACTACCGCTGTACCATTTGATCCTCCTTTCACTTCTCAGTGTTAGGAGCGAGAGGTATATTAGGTGGTCTTGCTGAGGCACCCCTTTTTGACTAGATGACCTAGTTGCATATCGAAAGCCATAGAGACTGTTCCAAACTAGGACAGGTTGCTCACCTGAATATAGGATTGTTTGAAACCGCATGGGTACGTAGTGAATCCCTAGCTCCTAACGAAACTAGGACAGGGAAACTCGACCCCACCATAGGGGTGCTTTGGCTCTCACTTACTTGATATGTGCTGTTAGGGTGTGTCTCTATAGGAATGTATGTATCAGTTGCAAGTCTGGGTATCAGTTTGGGGATATTAGTTTTGAGGCAGAAAATTTGGGGACATAAATCAATGTTTGAGTACAGATTGTCCAGCTTATGATTTCAACTGTGTGTTGTCTCTATGTAAGCCGAGGTGCTGTGCGTTTGTTGATTGTTGTTTCTTTTTTACTTTTCTTTTCCTTTTTGCAAGGTAGTATTGCACAATTTCTTCTGACGAGGTAGTTCCCTCCCGAGCTCTCTGGACCAGAGTGAGGAGGCTTTATTGATCTGGGGATCTTGTGAGAGGACAACCAGTGTTTGCTTCGCTCCCCCGATTACAAGATGCAGAAGATTTCAGCATAGTTCACCGGTTCATCAGTCATCTGTGCGCAGTTGGGACCAGTTTTCTGCTTCTACCTTACAAAGAGGATACACACCGGATCAGACAGATCAGCACCCCTCAGTCAGTATGGAGGATATGATGTGTCAACTCTAACAGACTATTGAGGCCATACAGCGGGATACTACTCGCCAAGCGAAAGTTACCGCTCGCCAAACAGAGGTTGTAGCCCAGCAGGCTGAGGTCGATCCTACAGCCTTGAAAGTGAGTAAGCTTGAGAAGCTTTTCAAACGTGCTAAGGGAGTCAACTCGATCCCAGATATAGAGGATGGCTACACAGATTCGACGGTGACATTGCCGGATAGATTTAAAGTGCCTCACATAGACCGCTTCAACGGCTCAGGCAATCCCATGGTCCATTTGAGGCTATTTTCAGATATTCTACGGCCGATGGGCTTGACTAGACTGCAGAGTCTATCCCTCTTTGGCCGGACCTTGTCAGGTATTACGGCTATCTGGTATGCTAAACTGGAGGATTCCATGAAAAAAGAGCTGGTAAGAGATGGCTGAGGCCTTCATTGCCCAATATTCTTATAACACTTAAATCGAGGTCACAACTCATGATCTCGAGGGAACTTGGCAAGAGATGAAGGAGGGCTTCTCTGACTTCGTTACTCAGTGGAGGGCCAAGGCCTCCTATTATTATTATTATTATTGTATTCATCATGAGAGAGAACATGTATTATTATGTTTCTATTACTCAAGTGTAATAGATATTTTTAATTAATAAAAAAAAATGGACCCAAATTTCAGGCTCTTGGTAATGTTTTCGAATAATTAAAATTTAGAGTGTGACAGGCTTCCTTCCTTATTTTGAATTTGAACTTTGTGAGTAATCGTTAAGCAACATCACCTTATATTCCTCGATTGTTCCAGTGCTACACAGATCCATTATTAATACAGGCTGACACGTGTCTGACTTTAATTGACAACTTATATTAACTCTCTAAATTGGCCATTTCATGCCACGTGTTGAAATGTAATTGACTTTTACAATTTATACCGTTAACAACTGTTAAATTTAATGTACATACATATAAAATGTCGAAAAGATCATTTTTCATTGAGTGTAATGGTAAAAAAGCATTTTTTGTGTCCATTTTACTTAATAAACAAATTAAAAAATATTTAAATTAATAAAATTAAAATTTTAATATTTATTTTATTACGTGAGTCAAATTTTGAGATTTTTTTATTTTTATTTTTATATAATAAAATGAAAACCAGACGGCCAATTTAACACGAACTCCACGGGTGTCACGTGTTCCGAACCCACAAACCTACCTCTTAAATCTTCTTCTCCAAAATCTTCAAAACCAAGTCATCGATCTTTCTAAGAAAATTTCTTCATTCTCTCTCTCTCTCTCTCTTACATGAGACACAAGAACAGAGCAATGGAACTAGAAATGGAGGAAGAGAAAATGGATATCTATTCAGAGACCAACAAGTTACTCAATAATCACTATTCAAAACCCATCAAGAGTGGTTTCAAGACCTTGCCACTCATCATAGGTAACAAACAACAACACAACGCATACATATACTCTCTCTCTCTCTCTCTATATATATATACACACAAAATCTTTGCTTGATTTTGCTTTTGATTTGCAGTAAATGAATCGCTAGAGAAAGTTGCGAGCTATGGGTTGATGCCCAACATGATTTTCTACTTAATTAGGGTTTATCACATGGAAATTGTTACTGGGTCGATCGTGCTCTCTCTCTGGTCAGCTACTTCCAATGCTTTGGGAATTTTCGGAGCTGTTCTCTCGGATTCTTACTTGGGTCGGTTCCGGGTCATTGTTATTGGATCCATCTCTAGCCTCCTTGTAAGTCCACAACAACCCATTCTGGATTGCTCAAATGCTCTGTTTGGCTGGTTGGAAAATATTTTCTTGAGAAATTTTGCTTGATTCCACTTGCTCCATAGCATATAGTTTATTGTATAATTTAATGCAATGCGTGTACTCTGTGTTTGTTAATTAGCTTTGCAAAGAAATGTCTCTCTGTGACATTTTATTTTGTTGAATGTATTCTTTTTCCCGGGGAAAAAACATTTTTTTGCTAATGAGAAGATAAACATTGCAATGGGTTTTCTTTATTTTCACCTAAATTTCTTATATGGTGAAGATTTTGGGGGCACCACAAACTAGGGTTTTTTTCTTCTTCTTTTTCTTACTCCTTTTCATGTAGTTGTTTCAAAGTCCATGAGATGAACGTGTATTATGCATCTTTGAGTGTGTATTTCAGGTTAACTAAGGAGACTTGATCATATTTCTATAATTTGGATTACACCACACTTGTCCACATGTTTGCAGCCTATTTTGTTTTAGGGGAAGATGATTCTTTAACATGCTTCCTTTTTCAATTGATGTTTTTTATCAAAAATCTAGGGCAGTGTTTATATTATTTTCAGTTAGCACTAAAATAAAGTCTCTTTACCACAAAAATTCAATGTCAGCTAGCATTATTGTAGGAACCGTCTTGATGGCTTCCGCTATTTTTTTTCATGTATGCATTGATTAAGTTTCTTCCAGTTATTTTGGAAGTAACCAAACAGCTCTAATAATAAGATTTTTTTTTCGGATATGACTTTACCTTTTAGGGTGTTGTCATTTGAAATAAAGAAAATGAAAGTTCAGCCTTGTTATTCCAACTTTCAATTCATTATGATGGTTAGGTCATGTTGTTCTTTTTTCGACAGGGAATGACTTTTCTTTGGTTAACTGCCACGATTCCACATTTGAAACCTCCGCCTTGTGAACAGCTCAAGCACAATTGCAACTCTCCAACAACAGCCCAACTTGCTGTATTGTTCTCTTCTTTTGGGCTAATCTCCATTGGTGCTGGTTGCATTAGACCTTGTTCTATAGCCTTTGGTGCAGACCAATTGGACGATAAAGAAAACCCCAATAATGAGAGGAATTTACAGAGCTTCCTTTACTGGTATTATGCTTCGGGTGGACTCTCTGCAGTTGTTGCTTTAACTGTTATCGTATACATTCAAGATCATTGGGGTTGGCAAATTGGGTTCGGAGTCCCTGCTATCCTCATGGCTCTCTCTACTCTAGTATTCTTAATGGGTTCTTCTATTTATGTTAAAGTTAAACCTAGCCAGAGCTTGTTCACTGGATTTGTTCAAGTTCTAGTTGTGGCATTTAGAAAGAGAAAACTCAGTCTCCATCCAAGTGATTATGATGACTCTCAGAACGTTGAATTGAAGCTCCTTTCATCATCTGACAACTTAAGGTATTGTCATCATCATCAGCTTTGCTACAATGAACTGTTGTGGGGAACATTTTTAATTATATACATGAAGCTCCTCATTACATTGGTTTCTTCTTGTGATGTGCTTTATCTTATTTTTATCCTGTGTGATACAATTACTTTTAATAGCAATACATTGCAGCTGATATTTGATTAAAAATTTTTTTTTAATTTAACTGAGCATATAGCCCTTGACAAGGTGGAATGGCAAAAAAGAATTTATGTAGCTGACCCCACTTGGTTGGGACATAAGGTTTAGTTTGGTTTAATTTATTGTAGCTGAGTTCTTAATTATTAGTGGAAATTGATTGATTGCTAAAACATTTAGAGCAAAATCCATTTTACACCCGTTGTGGTATAGGTCCAAGGCACTTTACCTCATTGTCTTTTCAAAATAGCCATATACCTCTCATGTGGTTTTGGACTAAATTGCAACACTAATTCTGTTAACATTAGTGTTAAAATGACAATTATCCCCTTCGATTGTATCCTTTGTGTTCTTTCTCTACTCTTCATAACCACAAATAGCCAAGCTATTTAAAATTAAACAAAAAATCTTAAATCAAATATCAATTAAGAAACTTGATTTTTCTTAATATCTAACCTAATTTTTTAAATTTAAATTAATTCCTAATTTTATCACATATTAAATTATAAATATATTCATATTTATATATATTTGTATTTATATAAACGAATAGCCGATTGCAAGATTATATATATACACAGTACTATGTTCTTGCCCAGTACTCTGAAACATTGTTCGCTTCAATTGGGTATAGTATTGACAAAGAATGTAAATTCACAATTACAACAACCACTAACATGAATGCATTTGATCTTATCTCAATGTGATATGGGTTTGGATTTATCAATGCTTTTTGAGCATGGTGGAGCCAACTTTTTGAACCTTCATTGGGATGATTTGAGAGTTGGGTTTGGGGAGGCAGGGAGTTCGGGAAGGGACAGGGGAAGAAGTAAGGAGGGAGGCGGTGGCGAAGAGTTGGTGGGGGAGGTTGCAAGGGAAGGGGGTGGGGGAGAGTGGTTTGGGTGAGGGTTTGTAATAGGGTTTGAAGGTTCAAAATGAAGAGAAGGTAATTTAGTCCTTGTATATTGAAATTTAACTGACTAAATTTTTTTCTTCCCCTACTCCCTACACAAGCGAGTGTGATTCATCTTCTGGTTATTTTTAAAAGGCAAGGGGGGTAAAGAGTTACTGGGCCATACCACAAGGGGGTAAGTAGATTTTGCCCAAAAATTTAAAATGACAACCTGTTTATAATTTCCTTTTCCCTCATGAAATGAATGTTTTCTCATCAATTTTAGCAATAGAGTTCCTATAGATATATATGATTTCTAGCACCGAAATTCCTAAATCCCATTATTGTCGTTTGAGGAGATTAGTTGGTTTAATACATGCAGTTTTGACTCTTTGTAGGTGGCTAAACAAAGCTTGTATAACTAAAGACCCACAGAGAGAGCTCAACCCAGATGGATCACCTTCAAATCCATGGGTTCTCTGCACTGCAGATCAAGTTAATTCACTGAAAGCATTTCTTAGAGTCATCCCCATGTGGTCCACCGGCATTGTGTTCACAATCAGCATGAACCAACTATCATTTTCCACACTTCAAGCAAACACTATGAACAGACATGTTACCTCAAATTTTGAGATTCCAGCTGGGTCCTTCGTTATTTTCATGATTTTCACTGTAATGCTGTGGGTTGCCTTTTATGATCGCATAATGGTGTCCTTATTAGCCAAATATACCAGCTACTCACGTGGGCTCAGTCCCACAGTTCGAATGGGAATTGGATTACTTCTCTCATGCATGGCTACTGCAATGGCAGCCATAGTAGAGTCTATAAGACGAGGAATGGCAATTAATCAAGGACTGGAGGATGATCCCAGTGGCCTGGTAAACATGTCTGCAATGTGGCTCTTGCCACAGTATATCATGCTTGGGTTGGCTGAGGCTATGAATCCAACTGGGCAGATAGAGTTTTACTATTCCCAATTCCCGAAAAGCATGACTAGCATTGCAATGGCTCTTTTCACTCTCGCGATGGCCGTGGCTAGCCTGGTGGGGAGCGTTCTGGTGGGTATTGTGCATCGCATTACTACTAACGGAGGTAAAGTAAGTTGGTTGTCGAGCAATCTTAACAAAGGTCACGTAGATTACTATTACTGGCTCATTACTTTCTTTGGTTTACTCAACTTTGTTTATTTTCTCATCTGTTGTCGAGCATATAGGCCTTCTAAGGATGACAGAACTAGGTCTTCTGATAATACAGATGGAGAATCTGATTAATCTTAAAATTTTATGCATAATTCATGAATCTTCATGCATTGCATATAAGAGCCAATGTCTACATTCTAACTCATGATAGATCATATTGATGTATTGTAACATCAAACTCAAATTATTAATGTACAAGGTACATGAACAACTCAAAGCCCTGGATTTTTGCATATTTGAAATAAAAACAGATTTATGTTCTGATTGTTGTCATTCCATTAGCATTGTATACTGTGTGCAAACAATAATAGAGTGATAGAGTTCTACTCTTGATGATTGGTTTAATTAATTTGTAACGCATTTTTCTTTTTCTTTTCTTTTTTTTTTTTGTGATGAATATGACGTTTTACAAGTGAACTTTCAAGGCTTCAAGCAACACAACATATCATAACTATGATTGCCTACGTATTTGATGGAAATGTGGGGATATTTGGGATTATCTTGTGTGGGCCCTCGGTTTCTTCATGCTTTGGAAAAGAGCAACTAATTACTTTCAAGGCAAGTGTCACTTGTGTTCAGTGTGAGTGTGTAATTGTGTATTGTATTTGAGTGAGAATTGAGGGGGTGTAAACCTCAATTATTGAGAGTGGTTCAACTTCTTTGTTTGTATTTGTTCATTGTTAGTATCATCCTGGTCTCTGGTATTTGACAACTTCGAGATGGTAGTCAATTTCACAACCACCAATTACTAACTAATTCTCTCACTTCTCATGTATTTGACAAATGTAGTAGGGAGGATAGGCACAATATTGAGAGTTGTACTTTTCGGTGGAGCTTATTTCACAATATGAGTTAAAAAAAAATTGAGCCAATCTTCTCAAAATTTCATTTTCAATTGTAGACCATTATCAAATTGTAGAATTAAATCTTTGTGTCAAATTTGATATAAAATTTGGCAAAACTATTTCTCTTTACTTCTCTCATAATGGGATCTATAAATAATATTTTTATTTGGCATTTTGTTAGGAAAATATAAGAAATAAAAATTACATATTTAAAAAAAAAAATTATAGTATTTTGACATTTTAGCATGCGGAATTTTGGCTTTGACACTTACTCTGGCATCAACCACGGAGGATGCTTTGAGAGCAACTCCAACGAGCTGCCATTTGAGATGCTCTTCTTAGGAGTTGTTTGAGGTGTCTTAAATAAGTGTACTTTTTATCTTTTTAGATTAAAAAATTGGGGTTGAAAATATGGATGCTTGGGTTAATTTTTTTGTTTGGGTTAACTTTTTGACTTTTTATGAAAAAATGTGTAATAAAAAATTATAAAAATTGATTTGTAGGGAAAAATTCGAATTGGGAATTGTGCAGTCGTAATTGTTGACTTTTGGTGAATAATGTTAACTTTTTAACTTTTTGAGTAACTTTTTAACTTTTTTACAAGTTTCTAAACTTGGCCTAAATATTGTACAACGTTTGACAATTTTCAAATTTTAGGGAGAGTTCTTTCTCTCTACCTCTCTTAATAGAGCTCACAAATAGAAGAAATAACATTTGCACAATTACAACAAGATTGCAAAATTATAGCATTTCAATACTACATTTTTATGACATTGTTGGCTACATATTTTGTATGAGCCAATCACAGTTCGACACGTGGCAGGATGAGGGCAATACGGGAAGACAATTTAAATCTTCAATCGTAATCACACACGTGACAGTTAGTATTGGTTATTGTAGATCTACATAGCATTGGATCAGCAAAGAAATGCAAAATGACGTGACTTCAACGGTTACTCATATTTAAATTCAAAATCAGGAAGGAAGCCTAAGTGCAGATATGGCATAGTGGAGCTAACTATAAAGCAACATGATTAGCGATCATGGAGGGATGATTCGACGGTTAGAAACACATTTCGACGGTTGTCATTGAGAAGTATAAATAGAAGAGAAGGCCCCAAAAAGAGGCCCCCAAACTCAGATCAAAAAAACTAGTTTTATCTACTTTACTTTCCTTTCAGTTTTTACATTTCTTGTTCTTTTCATTTATGTATTTCAAATATAGTAAAAAGTTTAATGATTCAAAATGCTGAAGCCTCTTCATATTTGAGAAATTTTGAAGGATCAAACTGAAGCCTCTTCATATGAATCTAGTACATCTATCTAAATTTGACACTTTTCATGGTCGATTTCGAAGCAACTTCATAGTGTAAGAGGGGGAGGAAATTTCCTAAGAAGAAGACAAACAGGCCCAGACATATGGTTTTTATTTGGCTTGTCTGGTTGTGTTGGAAATTATTGAGATGAGCCAAGATGATGACGAGAAGACTCAACCATTTTTGTAATTTCGAAATTTGAAGAAACATATCGTAAGAAATTCTAGAGAGAAAATTAATTGTAAATTAGTAGAAATTTTCTTTCGGAAATATCTCCACACATAAAAATGGAAAAATATATATCAAACACATGAAATATTGTGTTTTTTGAATGAAATTGCATGCGGAGAGGTGGGAGAAGGTTTTAAGAAAAGTATGGAGACATACTTGAGGTGATTACAACAATACAGTTTTTACTTCTCCGAAACGTAATTTTCACTTAGGCTGTGTTTGGTTAGGAGATTTGAGAAAGAATTTAAAAAGAAAAATGGAAAAGGTGCGTGGAATATGAATAAAATATACTTAAATTTTACTTAATTTCATATACCTTTTCTCTTTCTCTTTTTAAATCTCTCTCCGAACCCCCCCACTAAACACAATATTAATCTGTATGCATGTTCTTTTTTAATTATGTCGTGCGTCAACCCTCCTCAACTTCTCTCGATTTCCATAGCTATCCCCAACGAATCCAATGCCCACCTTGTCAAAGAAATGAGAAAGAGAGAGAAAGTGAAAAATTAGGAAAGGGACAATTTTGTTCAAAAAAAAAATGAAACATTCTAGGTGTTTGACATTAGTTCTTCTCATTACATGTGTAGGGATATTTTTTAAATTTAGGTCTCGTTTGGGAATATGTTAATTTAATAATTTTTTAGTTATTTGGTTAAAATATAAGTTAAAAAAAATTGGTATTTTTTAGATAATTTTTTAACTTTTTATGAAAAGATGTGCAAAAAGTAGAGAGAAAAAAGAATCTTTGACTTTTTAGTATAAATTTTTGACTTTTTGATTTTTTTAGTGACCTATTGACTTTTTGGCTAAAAAAGTCACTTGCCAAACGAGGTCTTAATCCAAAAAATATTACATATTCTAGGTTTGACATTAGTTCTTCTCATTACATGTGTAGGTATATTTTCAAAAAAAATCTATTGATTAGAAATTAGTTCCTCTATTTTTTTTAATTATAAATTTTAATACCAAAATAGTTGGAAAAGTGGTGAGTCATTGTCATGACGACCATGAGCATACCATCATTAGAAATTTTTTAATTAAAAAAAACAAATTGAATTGTATTTGAATTTTGCATTGGAGGAGTAATTTGTAGAAAATTGAAAAAAAAAATACAAATTAAATGCAAGTTAAATCATATTTACTTTCTTTTTTCCTTTTCAAACACAAATTCCTCTCCAGATGAAGGCTTAGATTTCTAAAAAACAATTTGTGGTCTCTTATCTAGGTGAGATAAAAGAAATTATTGCACTTTGCTATTATGTTTTAATGTGATCTCGCTATTATGAAAAATATGTAATCAACGAATTTTTTTTTTCACTAAATTTTATCACATTGATGAGAAATAAAACTTATAAAATAATAAAATTTTCTTTTTACTTGTTCCTCTTTACTATTTTTGGCATAACATATAAACTAAACATGATTAAAAAAAAGGTACTATTTTTCTTATAAGTTCTCATAAAATCACTACTGATAGATCCTGTAATTTGTCAATGGAAATGATAATGAAAGGAAAATGAATGTAATTACTTGCAAATACATCTTACTGTCACTTAAATGTCAACAAATGAGATTACTTAAATCAGTGACATAAGATGCTATTTAAGCCATTAATGTATAAAAATGTTAAAAATCTCAAAAAATGAGATAGCTTAACTTCAATGACCCAGAAGCTATTTAAACCATCAATTCGCTATCTCTCTCATGTTATATATCTATTCTATTAAATTATGTGAATACTTGAGTAGGTGTTGACAAAAAATATTTAAGAATTTTAATTTTCAAAATACTCTCATAAAAATTACATAAATCTACATATATTTATTTTTTTAATCAATTACAAAAAAATTCAGATGTGCACACAACATTAATATATATATAGCTAAAAGATTGTGAATGTAGCTAAAAGATATATATGCAACAATCTCATGTATACTGCATTTATACAAGGGTTTGCCTTCTTTCCCGTGTAAGATCTAAATGGGTAGATACGGTTCAAGTTCCGGGAGTCTACCATGAGTATCGTTTGGACGATTTGAATGGTTTATTTTGTAAAAATTTTGGTATATATCATTTATAAAATAAAATATAAAAAAAATTGTCAATTGATAATCTTAATCTATTTAATTTATCACATTTTTCTCTAAAAAAATAGATAACAAGTGTGCTTTTAAAAATACACAATTTATTTTTATTTTTTTTGTAATAAATGTAATAAATTGAACAAGTTATAATTATTCAATCGTTCTAATTTTTTGTGTGAATGACAATACACAAAAAGTCTTACAAAATGAACCATTCAAATCATTAAAAAACAAACGAATCCCATGAACTTAAGCATCACCTTGTAGTCTAATGCTTAGCTCTGTATACAAATACTTTAAGATTTGGATCTTATATTTGAGTAAAAATTGTAAGGAAAAAGAAATGAAAAAAACAATAAAATAGTATATTAAGTTGCTTTACATTTTTTTTTTTCTTCATATAAATTCATATCCAAATTTGAATCACGAGAACATTATGAAGAGCGCATCAAATACGTTGCAAATATATTTTATTTATTATTATTAGTATTTTTTTTTATGCGCATTTTTTTTAATGTTTTCTTTTTATTGATTATTAGAGAGAGAGAGAGAGAGAGAGAGAGAGAGAGAGAGAGAATATAAGCTAAAGATAAGGGTATAAATAAAGGACACGTGAACTTTTTTTTAGCAGTTGTACTCAACAAAATCGTAACAAAGAAGATAATACTTAGGTCAAGTTTGGTAATTCAAAATAAGTATACATTTTTTATCTTTTTATCTTTTTTTGTCACATCATCTCTTTACTTTTCTGCACATCTTTTCGTAAAAAGACAAAAAGTACACTTATTTAGGTCATCCCAAACAACCCCTTAAAATTAAAATGGTTAATTATACTAATAGTCTCTATAGTTTGGGACTTGTGTCACTTTAGTTCTTGACTTTTTAATTGTGATACATTTGATTCTGAATTTTGAATCTTGTTTTAAATAAGGACAATTGAAAATATTATTAAATTTTTCAAGGGTAAAATCGTCAATTTGATAAAATATAAATTAATTTGACAAAAATAAATGTCAAAAAAATATTTTTAATTTTTTAAAAATTATTTTTATCCACCAATGATAAAATTATATAAAATTAATAAAAATTACATGATTAATTTTTTTAAATTAATTTTACATGATCATCATCCAAACACATAATAAAAATTAATTTGGTAAAAAAAAATAAACGTCTAAAAGATTTATCAATTTTACATAATTTTATTTTTAGTAGGTTGAAATAATTTTTAAAAATTCAAAATTATTTGTTTGACATTTATTTTTGTCAAATTAGTTTATATTTTATCAAATTGACAATTTTACCATTGAAAAATCTAATTATATATTCAATTGTCCTTATTTGGAATAAGATTCAAAATTTAGGGTCAAATATGTTATAATTGAAAAGTCAGAGA